GCAAGGAAAGCACTTTACCCAGTGAGCCATCTCCCTATACTGACTAACATAAATTATTTTGTTCAAATAACAGAAAACTAAAAGAAATCCTAATTCTGCACTTTGTTTGAATGTAAGATTAGATACTAATACATTAATGTAATATGGCTTTCATGAAAAGATTTCAATTACATTTATTTAAACAAGTGCATAAATTTTACTCAGCTAGATATTAAATGTTTACATTTTATTTTTAAGCATAACAAAACAATTTCCTGGTAACTTCATGTACAAATTCTTTTTCCTACTACCAATCATAAAATTATCTTCTAATTTTTATGGCACAAGGGAATAGATGACTATAATCTATATTACCTTGTAAACATGTTAAAATTCAGATGCTTAGAAAAGGAAAAGATAACAAAATCAGTCCTTAAAAAATATTCTCTTGTGAACATGTTGAATTTTTGGATTTTCCCCATCTTTTAGTCTTGGTCATTATTTTCTATTTCGTACTTTTTCTTTTTCCTCTTTTGGTTTCTACATATTTTGTTGTTCATCATAACTGTAAATGATCACTGAGATAAACTGTAAATCATGTTCATTAAAGAAGAGGACTTCTCTGTTACAGACTTATTCTTTTAGCAAACCATTTTTAGAAGAGCATTATCATGGTAGAACTTGAATGCATTATACATTGCATGCATTTCTTTAGAATTAATTTACCATTTCATTTCTTTGACTTACGCACTATTTTATTTAGGGGCAATAAGAGACAAAAACCCCAATTTGTTCCTAAAATTTTCTGCATTGCCACAAAGCAAAAGGAGTAGCATTCATTCCAGTAAGAATTCATTATAAGAAAATGTCAATACAAAAGAAAATATTGTCCTGATGAAAATAAAATAATAAATTATTCCACCAAATAAATATTTGCTGTAGAGAATTTCATTCAATGAACAATTGTTATATTTTAATATTTGACTGTCATCATTGGATTAGGAAGAGTGAACAACAACTATAACAAAACCAAAACAGCATATTTTACACAGAGAATGTGTTCTTATAGGTGGAAGAATCCTAAAGAATCAAACTCAATCAAAGATAAAGTATGTCACACACACACACACACACACACACACACACACTGTTAAATGTTTGATACTGCCCTTACCTAGAGAAATGAGTGCTCATATGTAAATGGACAGAAAGAGTTTCATCTTAAATCTTAAATATTATTCAGTATTAAAACTTACAGAAACAAAACCCCATAGAATAAAATTATTAGGTTTGATGCATTGCCATTTTTATTTTTATTTTTATTTAATGTTTTGAGATGGTATTGCTATACAGCTTAGGATGGCTTGAACTCAAAATCCTCCTGACATACCCTCTTTAGTATGGATTACAGATGTGTGCTACCACCGCTTTTTTGTTTATCCGGTGCTGGGGGTGGACCTCAAAGTCTTGAGTATCTTAGGCAAATCTTCTACTATTGAGCTATATCCCAAATCTTTCATTTAAGTTTTCACAATCACTTGAATATAGCTGTGAGAATTTTCTAAATATTTTGAACTGTTGATGAATCATAACATTTAATTATACTTTACTATAATTTATAGTAGCCAGTTTTGTTTTTAAAGGTGGTAAGTGCTGTCTACTGGCTCATTATTCCTTTCTGACAACCAGGCACAGCCAGCCAAACAGACACAAAACTCAGAAAATATTAAGCATCTTGCTCAATGTAGTGAGGCTTTTAAGGAGAGAAGTAAGCATTGGAATCACATTCACTACCAGGGTCAAGTGCTCTTTCTAAAGCTGATCATTCAAGATTGTAGGTATTTCTGATACAAAGAAACATCATTTGCACATTATTTCTGTATATGACACATTTCATGCTTAATCTGAAACACAGAAAGGTGATTTCTATAGAGTTGACTATTATCCACTAAATTATAAATCACAACCAGAAGGCAGTAAACACAGGAATGGCAAATTTAAAATGTACTTTCAGTTCTACACAGAATAGCACTCCTTGCATACTTCACAAATACCTCCTATTGAACACATTAAAATCAAAATGTAGTATCTTTCCTTAGAGAAAACCTTGAAAATTAGTTATTTTTCTTTTGTATGCTAATACAGTTAATATTACCATTAGAAATTTGAGAATCACTCTTTTTTCATCTTCTTTTCTCTCCTAGATTTTTATGATGCAGAATTAAAATAAATACTTCATTCAGAACAGAGTTAAGTGCTAAAATCTAGCATCGTCTTGAAATTTAACTCAGGGGAAAATAGAATGGGCATAGGGAAGCCATGCTTAAACATCAACACATTTGAAATCAGATGCTGAACACTGAATTATGGAAACTCATGATATATTGAGAATATTTGCAGAGAGTTGCTGATGGTGTCAAATGCTGTAAAAATGATCATTATTAATGAATATGACTTTTAAAATAAATGCCTATGCAAGAAAAACTTAATTTTTGGCTTTCATTCATTCATTCTTCACATGGCTCTTGAGCTAGTCTTTAGGGAGATCTTATAATCTTTACTCTTTTTAAATAATAATATTCAAAATGGTAAATATTAATATATTAATATTTTAATCTCACATACGAATTTTATTTAAAAAATTAGACAAGGGCAAAATTTTATTTTCTAGTTTTGTTCCTTCCTTCCTTTCTTTCTTCCTTCCTTCCTTCCTTCTTTCTTTCCTTCCTTCTTGTTTTTTTGAGACGTGTTCTCACTTTTTATCCTAGGCTGTTCTGGAACTTACTATATAGCCCACACTAGCTTCAAACTATGATCCTCCTGTCTTAGCTCTTGAGTGCTGAAATTACAGGCAAAAGATAATAGGCCAAGCTAATAACTGTAACTTTAATGCATATATTCTAGGATTGGGAAAATTTTATAAAAATATCTTTTTCTGCTGTGCAGCGGTGGCGCATGTCTTTAATCCCAGCACTTGAGAGGCAGAGCCAGGAGGATCTCTGTGAGTTTGAGGCCAATCTGGTCTACAGAGTGAGATCCAGGACAGGCACCAAAGCTACATAGATATCCTGTCTCGAAATAAACATAAAAACATAAAAAAAAAAATATCTTTTCCTGGATTCAAAAGACAGTGCTTTATTATAATTTATAATGAGCTTGAACATGCAAATACCAAGTAATAACAGTATCAAAAGAAGCCATTTGCTCCATGAATAAGCACATTAATTTCATAAATGTTAAAACATTTTCATTTGGGAATTTTATTTTGGTGAATTAGAAGTATAAGTGATTCTTGAAATTATATCTGCTATCCTCTTTGAAATGTAAAAAAGATGTTTTGAGGCTTAAGAACAATTTCATGTAATTATATTGAGCTTAAAATATTATTCAAATATATTTATGGTATAGCACATTTATAATACTGGAAAAATATACTGTGGCTTTAGCAGTTTTGTATTTTTAGCTGTCAGGTCTTACTATATGGTAGATTATAACATCTTTTTTTTTTTTTTCCAGACAGGGTTTCTCTGTGTAACATTCCTGGCTGTTCTGGAACTCACTTTGTAGACCAGGCTGGCCTTGAACTCACAGAGATCCACTTGCCTCTGCCTTCCAAGTGCTGGTATTAAAGGCATGCACAACCAGCACCCAGCTAGATTAAAAAAATCTTACAGTGAACCTAAATTTTAGTTTTAAATATTTTCTGGACTTTACAAAAAGTCTAGTTTCTACACTCAGAATTTAATGTAGTCCAAATCATACATTAATTTACTTAGTTAATATAATAAAATGGATAAGATTTTTCTGTGCACTTTAGGTCTTTAGAACTTCATGTTTTCATTTAGTTTAAAATGTGACTGGTACCCAAGGAGCACTAACATACATTTTATGTCTAGAATGTTTTCAAAGTTTTTCTTCTTTGAAGATTTACAACCTCAATTTTTAAATAACATTGTTACTTATTTTGACACCTATCTAAATACAATGATATACAAATGTAATAGTAGCAACATGAAGATTTCCCTAACAGTGTTCAATCATCTGTCATAAAATGTAAAACAAGACGCACCATAACATCAATAATTTTGAGATAATTTCTAGTCAATGAAATTATAACTCACAAAACTAATAGAAAAGTTGCAGTTGAGGGAGAAAGCTATATTTGCTTTTAAATCTCATGACAGAAAAAAAGGCCAGTTTGAAAAACTGTCAGATTCTTAGGGCAAATTTAGAATACAGCTTGATATCTAACACAATGTCTTATTAAATAAGAAAGTAATCTTTTGATAACAATATTAGTTTCTTCACAAACAAAACTTGAAAGAACAAGTGAGTGATTTTTCAAGAGAGGAGATATTCCAGAAGGTAGGCATGATAGTACTTAAGCTTGCTCATTACTTTATCTTACACACAACATATGAGGCGGGAAACAGCGTCTAGTCTCTCCTCCACCACAAATCAGGGACAAATTATAAAAAATAGAAACTAAGAAACTCCTACCCTCTCCCAAAGGTTGGCATTAAAACTTTCTTTCTAACAAATTTAGTTTTGTTTCCAAATAATAGGCAGCAACATTCCAAGTCGAGTCTGTTTGAAAAATTTTTTGGAATGGTATTAGAGCAGGTAGGTATCCAAGCCTGAAGTTTAAAAGAAAAAAAAAAAAATCCCATTTGTCATAGTATTTTGTTAATATTGCTGATTATTGGCCAAAAATACATTCATCCTCAGAATAATTTTACACCCACAATGATAAGTTTCCTAAAAAGTAATTGGTCTACCACAAAGAAACCTAAGTTATAGAAAGTGGTATCTTTACCTGTGACGTAGAAGCAGGCATATTGTATGAACTGTCTACTCTCCTAATAAGATAATCTATTAAACAATGGGTGGTAGCTATCATATATTCCATCCATTTTTACCAGCATTTTGCATGCACTCCAACCTTGACAAGCAGGGGAACATTTGATAGTTTTCTCAGAATTCATAGTAGAGAAACATAAGCTGCAAGGGCCTGCACTTACTTTTGGTGTGGGACAAGAAGCTGTAGAGAGGCGCGATGTAGCCTGAGCACGGGGCGATTCTGAAGGAGTAGTGCTGAGGGAGGCTGTGTCTCGTGGGAGCACCTGAACACCACGAGAAATGATGGAATCTGGAATCTAAACAAGCATGACTATAGTTTAACATTAGGAAAAGGCCACAGCATATAAAATAAGTACTCACATCTTTTTAGTGTTTGATTTTTTTTGTCATTCTTTGCTCTTAAGCTCTTATACAGTTGGTGTTACTTATTATATATAAGCACATGTAATATTTGATTCAGACATTTTTTAGATTTACAATTTTTTCTAACAAACAATATATTATGAAATACTTTAGTGACAAGCAGTCCAGCACTGTGGTGAGGAGGAAATATATGTTATTCAATAACTGACTTTGCCATTTAATACCTTGAATTCCTGGCTAGATACTCCTAGATTTTTAAATTTCATTTTCTAACATTTCATCCTCTTTATTTCTAACTGACCTTTATGGACATCATCAACTAGCTATTTTGTGCTCCTTGACTTCCAATTGGGTTCTTCCATATGTCAGGGCCTGGCATGAGACCAAGAATTAGAGGAGAATAAGGTTTGGTATTTATTCCCCTCACTTTATCAGAGGTTATATGTGTCTCTCAACTACCATAGTTCTGTCTGAGTATATATAGCTCTTTCTCTGTATAGCAATAGAGTTCCTGGAATTCTCAGGATCCCTTTCGTCAAAATTCAGCTAGGAACAGTGTTTTTTGCTTATTAATCCCACAGAAACTCACATTGCCTTCCTGCTTTCTCTAAATTCAGTCTAAATATGTTTGCCCTTTTTAAAAATCTCAATTACTTATTTAGTGTGCTATCTCACTTCTGCTAGGACCCTGATGAATATATCATTTCTGGCAACATTTTCTTTATCTGAAAAAAATGAGGACAATTATAGCCTCTGGCTTCTTGGAGTATTTTGATGGTTAAGCAAGATAATGTACTTAAGTTACAGTTTATAATAATAAACTGTAGCAGTTTGAAATAGTAAATATTTAATAAATGTTGGCTATTAGGTTATATCTTTGAATATGATGAAGATTGATATGACTGAATACCACTATTCTAAAAAATAAACAAAATGAAAAAATGTAGATAATTTTAAATGTAAATATTTATGTTATCAAATTTATTACTTTAGACTATGAATAATTTATTTATTTTGTGCTAGAGTGTTAGAGACAGATTACCAGTTTAAGAATGGGATCTTGAGGCTATAAATATCTAGAAACACTTTCTACCTGGGATCTTGAGAACACCAGGTTCTGAGTCAAGTGGGCAATATTCACTATCCTTCCCATCCTTCATTATGCCCTTCCTCTCACCATCCCTCAATTCCCTGGGCACTCCTGCCTCTTAGCAGGGACCCAGCTTAACTCTTTCCTATGGGCCCTCTCAACTCTCCCTTTTAGCCTATCCCTACTCTTTTGTGTCAGCTGCTGACATCTAGAAACACTCTCTCACAGGGACATAAGGTGGCAACATCAGGCTCGGGAATCAGATAGGCAAGTCTTACTATCCTTCCTGTCTTCCGTTATGATCTCTCCATCTTAATCCTGTAGCAGCATGCTTGCAGGTGCCCTTCCTCCCACCTCAACACCATCCAAGACTCCACCTCTTGGTATACATCCTGAATCTACCTAGTCCTTCCATCCCTGTCTCTCCAGACACATCCTTTGTCTTACTGCAACCTACTTTCAGGAGCATCTCCTCTCTACCTCCAACTCCCTGGAGAATCTGGCCTCTTCGTGTGGACAGGAACCTCTTATCTCTTTCCCAAAGTCCCTCTCAGCCTTTTCTCTTAGCATATATCTATTCCCCTGCCACCCAATAACTTGCAGAAGCACTCTATACCAGGGACCACACAGACAACACACATGTATAAGATCCTGAGAGAACAACACCAAACAAAGAATAAAACACTCACACAATAAAGACAAAAGCAGATATTAGCATCTAGAAACACCCCAATCATCATAACTTATATTCCTAGACATCAGTGCAAAAGTACACTGAACACACAAGACAATGTGCTTTGATCAGAAACCAGTAATCTTACTATAGTAGGCCCTGAGATATTCAATATAACTGAAGCATAAGACAATGATTTCAAATTAAGAGATAAATAAATCCTTTAAAGAAGTCTGTGAAAAGAAACAGTGGAATGAAATAATAAAACCAGTTTATGAAAGCAGAAATAGAATCACTAATGAAAACCTAAACTGAAATAATAGGATAAGAAAAATGTATGAAGTCAAACAAAAACTTCAGACATAAACCTGACTAACAGAATTGAAGACATAAAAGACAAGGTAGAAGAAATGAAATATGTCAAAGAAAACATTAAATGTAAAAAAAAATTCAGGCACTAAACATCCAGGAAATCTGGGACACCATGAAAACACCAAATCTAAGAATAATAGAAATAACAGGGTGGTGGCGGCACACATCTATAATCCCAGCTCTCAGGAGGCAGAGGCAGGCTGATCTTTGTGAATTCAAGGACAGCCTGGTCTACAGATCAAGTTGCAGGACAACCTTGGCTAGTTACATAGAGAAACCCTGTCTAAAGAAATTAAAAAAAAAGAGTATATATGTATTTAAAAAAATAATAGAAATAGAGCAAGAAGAAACCCAGGTTAAAGGCACAGAAAGTATTTTCAACAAAAATCATAGAAGAAAACTTTCTTAACCTAAAGAAGGCAGTGCCTATTAAGGTACAAGAAGGACACAGAACACCAAATAAACAGGACCAGAAAAGAAATTCCCCATGACTAATAAAGGCAGATGCAATAGAATAGGATCTGATTTCTTAATGGAGAATCTGAAAACTAGAAGGGCCTGGATAGATGTTCTTTAAACTGGATGAGAGATCACAGATGCCAGCCCAGAGTACTATACTTAACAAAACTATCAATAACAATAGACAAAGACACTCTACAATAAAATCCAAATTGAGCAATATCTATCTACCAATCCAGCTCTACAGAATGTGCTAGAAAACTTCAAGCTGAAAATGTTAACCACACCCAAGAAAACACAAGGAATAAATAATCCAGGCCAGTAAATCAAAAGAGGGAGGGGGGGCCCATACCATAATAACAAAATACAGGACTCAAGAAACACTGCCCATTGCTAATTCTCATCATCAATGGTCTCAATTCCATAATAAAAAGACACAGACTAATAGACTGGATGTGAAACTGGATTTATTCCTCTTCTGCATCCGAGAAACACACCTTAACATCAAGGATAAAAATCACCTCAAAGCAAAAGAATGGAAAAACATATTCCAAGCAAACGGACCCAAGAAACAAGCAGGTGTAGCCACTTTGACAGCTGACAAAAGACTTGAAACCAAAACTAATTAAGATAGGAGTGGACACCACAAACTCATAAAAGGGAAAAAAATCAACAAAAGGATATTGCAATTCTAAACATCTCTGCACCAAATCAAGGGCACCAAGTTCACAAAAAAAAAACTATTACAGCTAAAATCACACATCGACCCTCATAAAATGATAGTTGGTGACTTATACCTCACTTTTGCCAGAGACAGGTCACCAAGACAAAAACATAAAAGACAAATGCCAGAGTTAAATAACCTCATAAATCAAATGAAAATAGCAGATACTTACAGAAAATTTCACACAACCATGAATGAGCTTCTCAGCAGCTCATGGAACTGTCTCTAAAATTGACTACATACTTGGACACAATGCAAGTCTCAACAGATAATACAAAATTAAAATAACATCTTTTATCCTATTTGACCACAATGGACTAAAGCTACAGACTACCAACAATAGAAAGTATACGTTTTCATGGAAAATAAACAACTCAGTACAGAATAAAAAAATAGGTCAAAACAAAAATAAAAAGGAAACTTCTCAGTTTCAGGAGGTCCCATTTATTAATTGTTGCTCTCAGTGTCTATGCTACTGGTGTTATATTTAAGAGGTGGACTCCTGTGCTAATGCATTCTAGGCTACTTCCTACTTTCTCTTCTATCAGGTTCAGTGTGGCTGGATTTATGTTGAAGTCTTTGATCCACTTGAATTTGATTTTTGTGCATGGTAATAGATATAGATCTATTTGCAATCTTCTACATATTAACATCCAGTTATACCAGCACCATTTGTTTTAGATGCTTTCTTTTTTCCATTGTACAGTTTTGGCTTCTTTGTCAAAAATCAGGTATTCATAGGAGTGTGGATTAATGTCTTCAATTCGATTTCACTGATCCACATGTCGGTTTTTATGCCAATACTGTCTTTATATACAAGCTGTCTTTATTACTACAGCTCTATAGTAGAGCTTGATGTCAGGGATGGTGATGCCTCTAGAATTTGCTTTATTGTACAGGATTGTTTTAGCTATCCTGGGTTTTTTTGTTTTTCCATATAAAGTTGAGTATTTTTCTTTCCAGGTCTGTGAAGAATTGTGTTGGGATTTTGATGGGGATTGCAACAAATCTGTAGATTGCTTTTGGTAAGATTGCTATTTTTACTATGTTAATCCTACCTACCCATGAGCAAGGGAGATCTTTCCATTTTTTGATATCTTCTTCAATTTCTTTCTTCAAAGACTTAAAGTTCTTGTCTTAGAGGTCTTTCACTTGCTTAGTTTGAGTTACCCCAAGGTATTTTATATTTGTGGCTATTTTAAAGGGTTATGTTTCTCTGATTTCTTTCTTGGCCCATTTTCAAAGTAACAGCCTATAGAATGGGAAAAAAATCTTCACCACCCCACATCTGACAGAGGGCTAATCTCCAAAATATATAAAATATACTCAAGAAAATGGAGAGCAAAATACCAAACAATCAAATTAAAAAATGGGCTACAGATCTAAACAGAGAATTCTCAACAGAAGAATCTCAAATGGCTCAAAGACATTTAAGGAATTGCTCAACATCCTTAGTCATCAGGGAATTGCAAATCAAAACAACTCTGAGATACCATCTTACACCTGTCAGAATGGCTAAGATCAAAAACATTGATGATAACTTATGTTGGAGAGGATGTGGAACAAGGGGAACACTCCTCCACTGTTGGTAGGAGTGGAAATTTGCACAGCCACT